TGTCGTGAACCATCCAACAGTGTCAGAGATGTCAATATTGGTTCCATTGATTTCTCGGCCGTGCTCTTGATTCCATACGACCGGTGGACGCCTGTCATGGAATGTCTGGGAGAATGATAGCAGCAAGGCGGCGAGATAGATGTCTACCGGATCCGTTTGCAGTGCTTGGTTGCAAGTAGTATGCAGAAGTGATGTTAGCTCAGGGCTCAAGGAGAAGCTGACCTCGCCGGCATCTCCATATGTATTCGATGAACCTAACAGGTCCCAATCCTGATAGTTGGCTGACGATACTTCAAATGGCATTTCAATAGCCAAGTTCTCGGTGTCTTGTCTCGAGATGTCAACCCATCTCTGGAACGGCATTGAGCGATGCGACGAAAGACACCCGTTCTGGATCAACTCATCGAGGTCCCGAATAATGACCCGCCAAGAAATGATATCAACAACGAGATGATGGGCAACAATGTAGATCATTTGATGGCCGTCATCTGTACTAAAGTGGGCAACAGAGAAAACGGGGCCGTCCTCGAGGTTGATTCCTGCCTGAGTCTGACTTATTACTGACTCGATGTGATCGTCTGTGCTGATCGAATAGTGATTAAAGCCGTAAGAGTCCTCCGTGTCCGGTAAAATTCGTTGCTTCCACCCTCTGGGGGTTTGGGCGAATCGAGCGCGGAGCATGGAATGATGGGCGACGACGGCATTCACCGCAGCGGCAATGTCGTCCAGAGCGAACTTGATCGGGACGCGTAGAAGAACACTCTGATTGAAACGGTAGCTGCCATCTCTGGCCCTTCGGTGACTGGTATCCCCGCCTAGGGATGTGTGGAAATAAAGCCGTTGCATTGGTGATAGCTCAAAGTCCTCCAATGATTCGACGTCCCACTTGTGCATTAGCCCGCCGCGTTGCGAGGCAGAGAGGGCGATTTGTGAAATCGTGGCGCTCCGCAGCACATCGTGCATGTTCAAGAATATAGATTCGAGTTTGCAACGCGTCACCAGGGCCATTGCAGCAACTTCGTCCCCACCTAGTTGGACAAATGAGAGATTCATGCCGACATAGTCTGGGGAAATCTGTAACGTGCGAGCAACCAATCTCTGTAGGGACTTTTCCATTTCTGTCTCTGGCAGCTGGAGGGTTATTTGGGTAACCAAGTGAGTTATGCGTTGGTAAAGTTCTTCGTTGGCATTCTGAATCCAAGTACGTAGTGCTCGACGATCTACCTCTCCAGCTTCATTCAATGGCATCGTTTCTAGTACCGCCCAAAACTGAGGACGATCACCCACCAGGCCAGCGGCTTCGAGATCACGTCGTACTGCCGTGATGTGTGTTCCAGCGAATAGCATCTGTGACTGGCCAATAAGTTCCAAGTCTTTGGAGGTGGACTCCCTTTCTGCCAGGCTCGTTAGCGTGACAATGGCCACAAGCTTGCCATCAAATAAGCCTGCCCTTGGTTTGACAGTGACAGCTCTGGAGATGGCTTTTCTCGAGGCGATAAAGTCTTCAACCTCGCTTCTCTTCTCGCGGAATGCGCTAGAGTTGCTAGAGTTGCTAGAATCGCTGGAGTTCCGGGAATGAAGACTGCTTTTGTCGCTTAGGCTCGCGGTCGACGAGTGCTTGGTAGACTGAAGCTCTACCGGAGCAATCATGATCGAGTCCAGGGTTGCTGGTTCTACAGATTGCTTTGCGCATGGTGTGATACATGTCTGGAGTTCAGCTAGAGTCTGACAGCGCAAGACATCGGTTGTTCTGACGGCCATGCCGATGTTCATACAGGCCCTCCTCAGGGCCATGGCGCTTGTACGGTCTCCTCCCAGATCGACAAACGAATCAATCATCTGAACTGTATCGTCCTCCAAGCCTAGTACCTTGGCTACTGCGGTTCGAAGTCGGATTTCCACTGTAGCGTCCGGGTCTTTCCTGAGCCATGCCGTCGATGTATCAATGCGTGGGAGCGTCACTCTCCTCGTTGTGTCGGCCATTTCGTAAAGCAAGTAGAGAAACAAGGGGTATACTATATTACAGACAGCAAAGGACAACGGCCTGGGTATCAACGCAAAAACAAAAATGGTCGAGAAGCAGTAGGGCTCTCAGCTACCAAAAGAGATGACAAGCGTATCACAGCGCAGGCCTTTGCATATGACATCCGAGAAGGTATACAGCGTTCAAGACTGTGAGAACCATAGGGATGACAGGAGATACCCGAAGTCCCACAGACGAAAGATACAGAGAATTGGAAGAGTAACAGCAGAAAGGAAATGGGAGCGTGGGGAGGCCGATACATGATGTATCACGGCCGGAGTGCAGACCTCGCCCAAGCCATATCATCCTCACTAACCTACGCAATCAGCCAACTGCGAAGCTCCAGAAAAGCGAGCGGCAGTCTGCCGCAGCCAACAGCAATCTCCGCGCGACTAACAACAGCCCTGCGGCCCAGCAAAGCGGCCCACAGTCGCGGGCGGGCAGCAACCCAACGATACTCATGCCATAGCAGCGACCAACTCCAACGCCGGAGCCGTGCATGAAATGTCAGACGGGTAAAAATCCATTGGGGAAGCGGCTTGTCGTGGTTGTGGGGGCGTAGGGGTCCACGCTGGCTCAGCCACCAGCGACTGTGAAACCCATGCAGCGATCTGCGGGCCGCTATTTTGGGAGCCTGTTCATGCCAACTCTTACCAATTTGTTCAATTGCAATCGAGATCGGTAGTGCCGTCCTGTTGAATCTAGACATGCCTGCTTACGCTCTACACGGCGAAAGTCGATTACTGGACGGATATTCGTCCCATGTTCGAGGACATGGCTTCTCATGCAGCATAATGCCTTTCTTTTGCGAAGTCCAAGTGGGATACCCCCAAGAGAGACCCCTAACCGGACTACGATGGGCTGAATCTGAGTTAGGACTAACCTAGAGACCTTAGAGACATTGAAAGAGATTCGGCACAGGTAAGGCAACGGAGACATTGCTGACTGGCAGAGAGCCTCAGAGAGGCTGTAAGACGGGTAGGCCAGGCGTGTCAACTCCGTTCTGGGCCTGGGACTGGAGCCAAGAGAAGGGAAGAAAGTCACTGCAGTATGCACAGAGACAGCAAACTGACGAATTGGCGACAACAGTGCTGTGGATTCCGCCAAAGGGCCTTAAAAATGGTTCGGGGCTGAGTGCAGGCTGAAGAGCCTGACTGACGCCAGATTGTCTTAACTTAGAACTGCCTCTTGGCCAAGCCCGGCATAGCACCAATCCCCGTGCGGTGCGGCACGCGGCAAAGCAAGCAGGGGGGTTGCTGAAGCGAGCCGAATTAGGAGCAACAAGCGCTCGCTGTCCTCGGATGGGATAACCTTCAGTACTTGCTTACACTCTAGAATCTGTCGCTTATAGTTGCTAACAGACACCTGAGCTTCAATGCGGGACTACGAGGAAAGTAAGTAGATTATGATGCTCTGTTCTCTTCGTGCGTCTACCCTTGTGGCGAGCTATCCTATCTATTCAATGATAAAGTCGATGAAGATAAACTCCTTGTCCAAGTCAAGGGATGGACATCGCACACCTAGACATACATTTGCTTTGTAACATATCACCATAGCGTGCTCGGATGTGTAGCGTACTCATAGAGTTAAGTAAATTTGCTCAACTCGCAAAGACTAGATCTCATATGCTGCATCCAGTAGAGTAACGCCCTTGTGAAGGGATGGAACCATCGCACTCTGTTCAGAGGATACCTTTTAACATTACGACTGGAAATGACGTCTGGAAGTTCAGCAGAACAAAGTTGGGTAATAGACAAGAGTAAACCAACGAAGGTCAAGCGGCCGCAGGCGGCGCGGTTGGCGATCGCTACGGGATCTCGTAGATCACGGAGTGTAGGAATCGTTAGCTTCACCCGATCGAGGTGCTCGCGACAAAAGTCGCTTCCTACTGTGTGGCTCGCAAATGATCTATCTACTTTGAAGATTGAGAGAGCAAGATGATATTCGACAAAGTTCTGACAGCGAAACGTGTGCGCGACCTGATGGCAACCTCATTCGGCGCAGTATGACAGGCACCAGAATAAAGTCCATCCTCGTAGGGTTGCATTCACGTCATACAGCAAGTGACGATCAATCCCACGAATACTCCAAAAGGAACTACAGTCAGAGGCTGCACTGATTGTCCACGCTTTATCTGATCGTAATTAAATCGTCGAAAGACTATTTAACCCTCAATGACATCAGACCAAGCATCCTAGGCAGTTTGGTTAGGTCCCAGGGTTAACGAGATACCTACCGCCACTCTAGAACTGAATGCCAACCAGAAATGCGACATCCGACCTTGTTGGCGCGAGATGCGAACGCTGCAGCCCCTAAGGACACTTGTCATCTCAAGTTTCATTTGAAGTCACGTCTCCCTGAATAGTTGAACGGGTAACCATCGTTACCACCATTCCCCGCCTTGGATGGCTGATCATCAACTCTTGACGGGGAAGCCGTGGGGTGAACACCACCGCGACTTGGCTTCCGACTGCCGGGTAGCGGCGCAGCAATAGACGATCGCTGTGTAAACTTCATCGACTTTCTCTTTGAATAGAATCAAAGAGTAGTAAATGGCCCTCTGTGATTGAAGCGACATCCCAAACAGCTTCCTGAATTGGCGAGGCGTTGTCATGACAGCCCCTTATCTAGCTAATATGAAGAGGTCTCGATCAAGCCTTTCGTTTCTCGTAAAATGCAAACATGAGCTGAGTAAATGCAAAGTCTGTTATGACATGTCAACTCCACATCACATCAACCAGGGTTTGTTGCTTTTCATAGACATAGAGTAGCCCTTGATCGTTGCCGTTGTCTGTTCCTTCAACCTCTTCCAGACGGCAAAACCCTGTCTCCTCACCGGGGATCATCGATGAACGGGCGCAGCGCGCGCGTGCTGGTCGAGGGGCCATTGATGGAAATTGAAAAGCGCTTATGATGATGTAACTCACATCCGCCCCCGGTGACCCATCTCAACGCCCAACAAACAACGGCAGTCGTGTTAGGTTTTCCACACAACGTCCAACAACCACTCTGCCACCACCCTGCAGTACGCATCGGTCTTGGCCTCAGCGTCTCTAATGCTCTCCTTCCCGCCCATCAACTCCCTAATGTGAACATTATCGAATCCGTGGGTCACATCCGGAACGAGCAGCCACTTGATCCCGCTGCCATCCCACCTCTCCTCCCAGCCAAACCGCTCATTGTTGGTCTCCAGCTTGCCCTTGCTTTTCGCCGGCTGTTCCCGCCCAACAAGCCGTAAGTTCTTGTCTGTAGACGTCGCATCTGGGAGCCTGCGCGCCGGCGAGAGTCCTCGGGCAGCCTGCTCCTCATTTGCAAGGCGGCAAGCCATGCGCCACGACTCATGTGCCAGCATGTCCAGCTCGGCCGCCACAATACACACATACGGCGGGAGGGCGGATCGCGGCGCATACGCGGGCGATAGCAACGGGTCGCGCAGCTCCTGGCCGTATGGGATGTAGCTCCAGTCAAAGACCGCCACTAGGTCGAGCAGCGCGTCCTTGCGGCTGTTCCTGGGTGGCGACAAAGTAGGTTTGTATTGTCTGCTGCCGGTCTTGACCCCTGAATGTAGACTTAGGTCTAGACACCCATACACGCTCGTGACAGCTCGTGGGGGGGCCGTGCATTCTTGTATTGTAGGTAACTGGGACAGCGTCAGGGCTAGGTTGCCTCCAGCGCTGAAGCCCAGCAGTGCTGTGCGGTTGTCGGTCGGAATCGAGGCATCGGCGACGACAGCGAGGTAGAGAGCTTCAAGATCGTGGAGGGCAGTTGGGAATGGGCCACTCGGCGCCTTCGTATACGAGAGAGCAACGACCTGAACACCGTATCTGTCTGCGAAGGCGCGGTTCCATTCGTCATCGTCGCGCGGCGCGCCAAGGCAGAATCCACCGCCGTGGATAGTAAAGAGCGTGGGCAAGGGACTGGACGTCGAGGAGTCGTTCCGTTTCGATGGGAGAAAGACTCTAGCGGTAGATGGTAGTTAGTACGATGAAGTCCACTCCTAGAACACATGCTATTGCTGAGCCCGGGGTCGATTGCCAGACGCTCGAGCATAACATCTGCAGGCAATCCTAGGTATGCGCTCACCGGACAGGTAGACGTGGGATCCCATTATATGTCTTAACAATATCTGGACGACACCGCGGCGGGAAGAGCCATTCCACCCAGCTTCGGATCCATATTAAGGTAGCTACAAAAGTCTGTAGGCTGTAGACGTATAAACCAAGACGGACTTTCTTGTATAAAGGGGGCTCTTGACTCCTGTGCCCCTCATCATCTGTGCATTTGTCCGCCACTTCGAACGAAAGCTTGGTCGGCATCTCTGGCACAGGGCACAGGTTGAGAATTATCGTGTATCGCAAAACGTAGCTGTAGAAGCTGGATACTAGGTCCGTAGTTGAGGAGGTGGTCGGATGAAGTAGATGAACTGTAGCATTGCAGTTAGCTATTTGTTGTCAATCACTTTCGGGCTGGCGTCGACATTGGCACGTCCGGGTCTCAGTTCGTGGGAACTCACTTTTAGATAAATCGTCACGTAGGCCAGAACGAGCAAGGCCGCAAGCAGACGGAAGATCATGCTGGCCTCCAAGTGTCCACGTGTGCTGTCGCCAGTCTCAGCTCTTTATCCGGAGACAACCTCGGCCTGCTCGAATGCCCAGGCATGTGGCGCGCTGGGCGGTCGAGCTTGAATGGAAACGGCGCCCCATGGACTTCATGCACAAGGATCGCTTCGCATACTGCACCAGTTCAGCTACGATCGCTGGAGCTTCAGGCAGAAGGGCACTGATTGAGCACGGATAGACATTGTAGGGGCGAAGATGCTGGTTAGAGAGTATGCTGATGGCTCAAGCTCTGGCCGGGAGCAGTTGCATCCCACCTACCGTCATATCAGCACGGTCCAACGCCGGCCCCTCGATTCAAACACATCTGGTTAAACCCGGTCCGATGCACAATATGCAGCATTGAAACATTGAAACATCGAGAATTAGGAGTAATACCATCTCCGGCTTACTACCCTACTGCAGTATATTAAAAATAATGTTAGTTCAGTTATCTCATCTCCAAGGGCGAACTCCAACAAGAAGGATCCCTAGGATTGGCTTTAAAGGCCTCTACTGCTTTTGAACATGAAAAATACGAATCAAGACTTCAAGCACCAAATGCGCCTATGTGTCGTTATACATCGACATCTTTCCCTCAGTCCGGGGAGGTCTGCACTTTCCAAAAGGGGCCTGTCAAAAAAGAAACGGCCGTCGTATGCAATGTAAATAAAACAGTCAAGAAAAAGTGTGTTATAGTACAAATACAGGTCAGGTCTGGCCGGCTGGCTATTCCCATACCTGTCGGTCTTTGACAAATATCGGTCCCGGTCCCTGGATCCTTGCCTTTCCTTCATTACGTCGCGCTGCCCATCTATTTCCCCGTCTACATTATCTACCCGTTCCATCCAATCCGGTCTTATGCGGCGTAGTGGCAACCTGCATCGTACAGGCAGACTCTCCCTGCTCTTCCTTGGTATCGGTATCTAGAGAACAATCTCCGTCTCGTCGTCGTCCGGATCCTCGATGCTCGTGCGCCGCCGCGCCTCAACCGCACGCTCGACCTTCTTGCCGTCCTCGCTGACAATATTCGGGTCATCGACGGTCTCGGCCTCGTCCCCTTTCTCAACCGACCCCTTTTCCCCTTCTGACTTGTCGTCGCCCCTATCTTTGTCCTTGGAGCTGAAGACTTGGTTGCCGAATGGCCACAGACTGCTGAACGCCGTCGACTTGCCGCTTCCCGGCGGGGGATGCACCGGCAGTGGTTTGAGCAGAACCTGATCCCTGTCCTCGTCGAGACTGGACCTATCGCCACGACTCTCTCCCTCGCCGGATTTCTCCTTTGAGCCCTCGCCCTCCGGCATGGCGAAGTCGCCAAACTCCTCGTCCTCGCTGTTCGTACCGCTCCCTCCGTCCTCGTCAGAATCATCCCTCCCGTCGCCGAACCGCTCCTTGTCCTCGCCCGCCTTCGGTTTGCGCCGCACGACGTCTCGCCACCAGGAGCCGCGGTTCCAGCCTCCGCTCCCGCCTCCCGAGCCGTTCTCGCCGTCGTTGTCCTCGCCGTGCTGCCTCTCATCGTCGTCGTCGTCCTCGTCATCCGCAAACGGATTCCGCAGTCTCTCGACGACAGGGGCGGACTGCAGCAGGCTGCCGAGGCCGCCGCCGCCGCCTTTGCTCGCGCCTCGAGACGCTTCGTCCTCGTCGCCGTTGCCGTTCTCCTGCTCCTCGGCTTTGCGCTTGGACATGGCGAGGCGCGCGGCCAGCTGGAGGCGAGCTCGCGAAGGTGGGATGTTCAGTGGCGGTGGGGGAGGTGGTGGCGGCGGGATGGACGGTGGGTTCATGGATGAGTTGGATGCGTTGAGTGGGTCTGTATATGCGCGGAACTGTCAAGGCAAATCAGTGCATGCACACTTCGGGCTTATGTTGATAAGATGACAAAAAGAAGACGAAAGGGAAGGGCGCCCGAGGGAGGAGAGTAGCCAGCGGGGAATGTGCTATCATGTCCATCCAGTTGGGTCGTTTGGTAATCCAGGGCTGGCTCGGCGCATCCGGAGACATCCATCATACATGACATGACACTCAACATTTCGACAACCAGCCTGTTCCGCCAAGCATGAGAAAGAGCACCCCATTCCAAACAGAGGGGAAACATCATTTCCCAGCCTTTTGGAACCTAGCTCTATCTCGTACAATAGTCCAGCGGTGACTGGGGTTACACATAAAACTCATTAAACCAATCCATCCTTCCCCCTCTAATCCATTGCCTGGATGCCTGTTCTGGGCTCCATACTGGTGGTGGTACAGAAATTTTCCCGTCGTGAACATCGTCATTGGTTGGCCAGGGAGTTGACTATGTTCGCTCATGGGATGGGTCATCCGAGATGGTCCCGCCGCCCTGTTGGTCGTGCTGGTCCTGGTCGCCGGTCGCCTGAAGATCAGATTGAGCCGAAGACGCCTTTATTGCGCCGGTTTCCGCATTGACCTGACCTTGGAGTTCATCTGACCTGGGAGGCTGATCCGTTTGCCGGAATTGCTGGACATGCTCCATATGATCCACTTCTGGCTCGTCCTCCGCTTGTTGGACGTACTGTACATCCTCCATCTCGACATCTTCCATCTCGCCGTAACCTTGAGGCGGATCCGGCGCGACTCTAGTGCGCCTGACGTGGAGAGCGTTTGACAAAGCCATTCCACCGTCCTCATTGAATCTATCGTCATCATTGTCATACCACTCATCGCCCCCATAGTCATCCGTCTCATCCATTAAATCCGCGACCTCACTAAGGTCTTCCGTGCCTCCATAGCCGTCATCCATGCCCCTCTCCAGAAGCCGCCCTCTAATGCGGTCCTGCGAGTGGATGCTGCTCGAAATACGGAAAAGAGGGTAACTAACCTCGTTTGTAACGTCCTCTTCGTTGTCTTGTTCTTCGTCCTCATCCTCGTCAGAGCTACTGCCGAAGCCGGACATCATGGTGCCCGTAGATATCGCAAACGGACCGATGCCATTTCCACCCCCGTTATCGCCCATGTCACTGATTCCCCCGTTAAGGCCGGCTTCAGCTAGGGCATTCGAGCCGGAACCTTGATTCGAGCCAGACAGGCTTAGAGCAGAGCCCAGACTGGACAAGCCCACGCCTGCGAGGCCTGAGCTTGCAGCTCTATTGCTGAGAGCGACTTCTGGCCGCACGCCTCCAAGAATGGCGTTATCCCTCTCTCGTGTCTCCGCAAGTGCGCCCTCGACGTAATTAATCCAGTCCTGCGACATGACGCGGTCCAAGACAGTCTCGGAAAGAAGTTCTGGCGGGTGACGCTCGGTGAACTTGACCACCTCTTCCGCAATCAAAGTCAGATGACCCATGTACCCCATACGAGTCTTGTTCTGCTTCTGAGACTGCTCGCTCGCGGCTTGGCCGGTGATGATCTGGTTAGTAATGTCTGCTGCTTCGAAGAGCGAGATGGCAAGGGTCGGGTTGAAACCACGATCCATGGGTCCATTGAAAACCTGCTGGACAATGTCATACACCACGTTGTGAAGGAAGTTATTCCAGGGGTAGTTGAAGAAGAAGGACAGGATCGTAGGCACCACGCGATATTCTACAAATTGAGTCTTTAGGTAATCCCCAACGACCGGTGTGATCTGAGAATCATCGGCTTGTGTGGGCGCGTCAGCCTCTGGTGCGTGTCCGACTACTATTGATTCCTCGCCAGGTTGCGCTGGGGTTTCTGCCACTTCGCCTTGCTCTATATCTTTTGAAACAATCGGTGTGGCCTCGGCTGCTCCGGCGTCTGTTTGAGACTTGGATGATCCAGACTTGTCTGAGAACAGAGGAGCTGGCTTATCGTCAGGGTGAGGTAAAAGTCCCTCCAGAGCTGCAGCAGACGTTGGTAGCCCAGCCGCAGGGGTCTCCGTTGTGCCAGGTTGACCAAGCTCGGAACCGGCAACGGAGGAAACGGTAGGAGTGAACACAATGTTATCCGAGTCCTCGCTTTGCTCAGACTCGGCGGTACTATCGCGAGCTTCCACATGTACATGTTCTGGCTGATCATCGATACTGAGAGCCTCCACCTTCTGTGTAGACTCTTCAACTTCAACTTTGGGCCCACCCTCGTGCATCTCGGCTGGCTTTTTGCTGGGTGATAAGGGTGCGACAACAAGGTCAGGATCCTCGAATGCCGTTTCGTCTATCGGGTCGTCTCTCACGTGTAAGCGAGGAGAGCTCAGGGGTTCGTCGACGAAGCCATCCTCGTCCTTGTCCAAGAAGGACGGGCCGCGGTTTGCCGCGATCTCCTCTTCCGCCTTGACAAATTCGTGGGAAGTGTCCTCGGCCATGTCTGCATCGTTCTTGACCTCTTCGAAGCCGTCATCATCTGATGCGTTTGTAACCTCCAAGCGACGGCCCTCGTCCGCTGGAGACGAGTGCGATATGCGCATTGTCAAGTCTTCTGCCGAGGAAGGCACCTCTTCGCCACGCATAAGAGACAGCCTACCCTCGGCTCGTAGTCGTTGCCGTTCCGTGTCACGAGCCGAGATCAATTCTTCCGAGCCGACTTCGTTCAATAGGCCCATATTACTGCAGTGCAAGAGCTCGGCCATCAACTCGCAGGTTTTGAAGCGGTCAAAGCCGAGGGGTTCAATCTTGTCGCCGAATGTCGAGTCAAGGCGCTCCTTCTGTGCGGGTGCATTCATGATCAGGCTCATGAAGTCGGGGACGTGGTCGGCAAACATGCGGAGCAGTGTGCCCAAGTAGATGGGGTCGCGGCTCGACGGCAAGGAGGTGGCTTCGGCGCCAACATCAGGATCGTAGTCGGAATTGTTCTTCCTGATGACCTCGATGACGATTCCCACGCCAACAGTCAAGGCATTCCCGCCTCCCAGCATGTACGAGATGAGTTGCTCAACACAGGGCTTTGAGACGAGCTGTCGCGTCAGCTCGTTGGGTCCGATGCAGGTCTGCTCGTTTTGGGAAGCGTTGGCTGAGACGGTTATGATGGCCTTCATGAAATCGCCGGCCGAGGTCTGCGTCGCCCAGCTATGTTCGGGTCCAAGGAAGGATAGGAGCGTCGGCATCACCTCTTGAGTGAACAGCCACTAGAGACGACATGTTAGCTATGGGTGCTTCGCTTCAGGGAACGCGATGTACGGGTCGGGTCAACTTGCCTCAACGATTCCTTGGCCACTATCTGTCCGTTCGAGGCTGATGATCTTGAGCAAGAGGTCCATGATCATAGGGCAGTCGACGTGTCTTAGCATGTCGGGCACAGCATTGTCGATGGATTTGAGCAACTCGATCATTTCCTCCGTCTTACGGTCGAACAAGGACTCGTTGACCTTTGTGAAGTAGCTCGCTTGAAGGGGGTCGAGTGGTGCGGGCCGCTTTAGGAAATCCCAGAAGTTCCGTAGCAGAGGCTTGCTTGCCAGGAGAGCCTCGCTGATTGACCAGTTGTCTGACGACAGGATCTCTGCTGCCACGTAGGCGTAGCGGTTGCGCTTCTTCTCGGCCTCTTCTTCCCTGTTTTCGTCCTCGGTGGCTCTCGAGGATGCTCTGGGGCGAGAGAAGGGCAGAGAGCGGCCCTTGCCCTTGTCCGAGTCATCGTCTTCGTCGCGGTCGGGGTCGGGGGTCGCGACGGCCTCGAGCCTTGGGGCGACGACGTACTCGAGCAACCTCTCGAGGACGGGCTCCTCTCTCAGGTAGTCGATGAGCTTTGCATTGTGTTGCTTGAGCTCCTGTATCAGGTCGCTCTCGTCGAGCAGCTCTTCGAGTTCGAAATCGGACTTGTCGAGGATGGTGTCGATGGTCGAGATGTTGGCATAGCCGCCAAACCTCCAGAACATGATGCCTGATTAGGTAGGGGATCCTACGTCACAGCGCCAGCAGACCTGGCGCCAGACGGTAGGGGAAGAGAGGGGAGATGGGCGTCGATGGGCGTCGATGGGCGTGGCTGTCGGTTTGAGGCTCAAGCATGCGTCCCTCTGAGCTCTGAGGGCGGGCAAGAGTTCGAAAGGAACAGTGCGTCGTCGTGGACTGCGAAATGAACGGCGATGCAGGGTCTTTCCTTCGCCTTCGCGATGTCTGCTCGACAGGAGGGCGCGCGCGCGCGGACGAGGCTCGGGGGAGGCGTGGCGGTGGAGGTGGAGGCGGGCTCTTCTAAAATGCACCGAAAAAGAGATGCCAAACGCAGGAATGATAGAATGATAGAATGATAGAATCGAATACGATATGCTGCTAAGTTGTGTTGTTATGGTGAAGGTGATGGGTATCTCAATCAATCAATCAATCAATCGGTCGCCTGTCTGTTCGTTCGTTCTGGGATTAGGTAGGATGGATTTGTCTGTCGGGCGGTCGATTTGTCGGGCACTGGTGAGTGAGTGAACTGCCACTGCACTGGGCTGGACTGGACTCTGGGAGTGGAGTGGAGTGGACACTGGGGGCAGGGCAGGCAGGCCTAACGTTAACTAACGATCAGCTGAATGTCGTGGACTGTACTGCGTGGTATGTACCTAAGTTACCCTACTGTACTATGCAGTACCCAGGCTGAGCCAGGTACTGTATTGTGCAGTCGGCGGATGATGTAACCAGGCGCGTGTCCCGTGCACTTGTGAAGAGAAGAAGAAGAAGAAGAAGAAAATGCAGGTGGACAACAGGCAACTCAAGAGTCTCTCAAGAGTCTCTCAAGAGTCTCTCAAGAGTCTAGAATTGCATGGGAGTAGAGCACTAGAGCACGCGACAAGTAAAAGTAAAAGTAAAAGTAAAAGTTCGGTGCATCAGCATCAGATCCTCCGTCCTACTAATACTAATGCTGATGCTAATGCTGATGCTGCAAATGACATGACACATGAAGCTCTTTTTCCAGGTTTCTTGCGGCGTGTGTGTGTGCGATTGTGGATGCCGGTGAAGAGACTTAGAAATTAGAAAATTAGGTGCTTTTTTCAGGCCCAGCACTCCAGTCCAGGTTGGGCTGCTCCTACTACCTATCGCAGTAAGCTACGCGGCAGAAGTTTCGCAATGGACAGACACGCGGGATTAGCTACCTACGTAGACTAAGGTTAACCTGAAGAGACAGGAGACAGGCAGAAAAGCAACAACCCAGCGTCTAACATTGCATGTACTATGCTATGCAGTAGAGTAGACAGACAGCAGACAGCAGACAGCAGACAGCAGACAGCAATAAAATATCGGAATTGACAAAGCTTCCCTGCAATAGGTAGGCAAACTACACAGTAGGTAGGTATGGTAGTCTAGCTAATGACTTGCTGGGATGTGCTAGTCTTAAGTCAGAGCTACCAAGATCCCATGTCCGCCGAACTCGTCGCGTGCGTAGAGGGACATACAGTACCGGTACACTGTCTCTCAGCAAGATGGTTGAATCAGCGTCAAAGTACTGCTGGATTGATAACTACCGGTACTCTACTCTACTATAGGAGTGTCGCTGTAAGTCATGGCCAGATCCCGATCATTGCGGATATGGGGAAGTCAAAGGGAAAAAAAAACATGCAAAACATCGAGAAAACTAACTAGACTAAATATTCAACCAGATAGGGCACAACGCACGGTTATGGAGATCCTCCAGGGCCAGCTCCAGCTCCAGCTCCACAGGCAAGGCTACCGGCACGCCTGAGACTACACTACCTACTCCGTAGACTCTTCATGTTACCGTATCTACGATATTTTCAACGCGCTCATGTTCTGTCACTCATCCCCTGGTGGTGGTGGGAAGATCCCCGTGATGGAAGCTTCATGAGCATCTCTTCTCTTTCATGTCGGGCTTTGTGGAAGACTTGGGCCCTGAGCCAAGGTGAGACAACTCGAGTATCCCATCTAAGACATCCGCATCGATGCCGATGCCCGGTACCGGCGCCCGAAGGATCTATAACTACTGCGTATAACTGGAAGCGTCATTGGTGATGGAACCGTATTGACTGTCGGCCGGCGTCGCGTCAGGTGGAAGAAGTGAACAGTAACAGACCTCAACGCAACGCAACGCATTACCGGTACTCTACTACCTAATCAAAAACATCGTCATCGACCAAAGCAACAGCGCAACGTGGTAAATTGGCACGTTTGGTACTGGAGTAGCGTCGATCCTTCCCGCTCCCACTCCCACTCCCAGACACAGTCTTTCTGTTTGCAGCAAAGAAGGCCGAAGCCCGAAGCCCAAGGCGCCGCTCCCTCCTTGCTTGCCACGTGCAGAGTCTTGCGGCCCAGCGGCCCAGCGGCCCAGCGGCCCAAGCTCCTCAACCACCTGGAAAAGGGGCTCGGTCACGTGATTCCCATGTGCTGGGCCCAAAGTGTTCCTCTCTTATTGAACTGAAGAAAAGGCTCCTGTCTACTCAAATCTGGCGAATAATTATGGGCAATGCATGAAAGCAACGATAGAGTAAAACATTCTCGATTTCCATGCTTCAACATGAAGGACGATTCTAGACAATGCCGGATTCAATAGGTATCTCACCTAAGTATGCAAAGCATGCTGTCACGTCAGGTGAGTGGCCATTATTATTCAAAGCTGCAAGCCACACTTCCCAAATCACACGGGAGAATGTCTCGTAATTAGTCGATTCTGGAAAGGAGGTAACATGAAGTCTTGGCAACGCCACAAACAGACATGTTGAAACTCTTCAGGAGTTGATGCGGCTGAACAAACATTCTCATATTTGAGCACGCAAGCTACTCGAGAGAAACTCTATCTTGCCAACCTGCTGGTTGGCCTCAATCTCTGACAACCAATGCTCTGATTCTCAAGAATGATGCACTCATTTCCTAAACGATGACTGCTCTCTCCGACCTCGTGGGTGAAGCCCTCATAGCGGCTCTTACTGCAATAATCTTCTTCCTCACTGCAAGATTTCTTGGCGACAATGCCACTTGGGTGTTGTATCTTCTCTTCTTCGTTGCTCGTGTCCGACCAAGCCGCCCAACATTCTCCATGTGGATAACAGTATCCGTGATCATGTCCCTGCTTGATGCGTCCGCATACGAAATTATGGCTTTCTGCTCCTTCATTGACGCTTGCATGACACGAGACTACATCACCTTAGTATGCTTTGTTGGAACCACCATCGCTCTTGGACGTGTCTCACAGCTAGGGCTGGAGAGGGACTCATCAGACTTCAGCTACACAGAAGAAGTTCAAACAAACCACACAGCACCACCCGGCGATGCGCCTACTGTCAATTCAGTCTTGCTTCCTTTGGTACAATCTGTGGGCCTCTGGATTCTGGCTCTTGTTCCTCGCTCGATACTTGCGCCGGATGACACCAGTCGAGGTCTGCCTGAGGAAAGATTTGGTGTCATTCATGCCTTCTTGCTACAAACCGTGCAGCTTTACTTCTCTCACAAAGCCCAATACTGGCTCTACGCGCCACAGTGGTTCTTTGGCCTGTCATTCTCGGGTTCAAAGATAGCCGCGATGGAAGGTCTAGGGATCAACCTTATTGCTTGGTATTTCGGCTATAGCCCAACGGTGGCATGCGTTGTCTATCTCACCACCAACGTTCTTATTCACCCATTGCGGCAACGTTCAATGAATGGGGGTGGTGCCACACCCGTTCTACAGAGTCAAGTATACGGACTGACTTGGTTCATCATCACCGCTTTGGCGTTCACTGTTCTCAGCATGTGCTTCGGTTCCGTATTCAAGAGTGTTCTGGCTGTTATTATCCTCCTCGGATGTTTAGTGGTCCTCGTCTCTGTCGTTGGGCCTCAGATTTACATCGCGTATCACCACCGTCAAAAACCGAGGCTTCCACTTCACGAGACTCGAGACGACATTGGCATTAATCGCTACAAATATGAGGTGTTACCCACCTCGCCGACTATCAGGCTTCTACGTATCCTGCCAGCCTTGTCAAACCGCAATCCGATACAATGCGAGTTGGTATATGGCTCGTTCGAAGGCGACGTCTTTGCTGGGCCAACTTATACCGGAATTTCTTATAGGTGGGATCCGCCGCGAAGCAAGAAGGTGTTGATCTACATCAACGGTAAACCCTTTGAGGTGTTCCCAACTGTTCACGCTATTCTCCGAGCTCTGAGAGCCCCTTTCCGATACCAATGCGTTTGGATTGACTCGGTTTGTATCAATCAAGACGACGACATAGAAAAGGCATCGCAGGTCCAATTCATGCGCCTCATTTACGAGAATTGCTCTTATGTCGTCGGCTGGGTAAACGGAGATGACGGAGATCCCGGGAATGTCTTCGAGATGAGCTGGAAGTCATGTATCGACCTATGGACAGGATACAAGTCATCGTCATACCTTGCCAGTCTAATGCTTGGACGGATCAACTCCTCGAAGTATCTCCAACATGTGGCTCCAGATGAGCCTCCTTCAAACTTCTTCATCCAACACCCAGTTGAGTATTGGAAGGCCCTTGAAAAGCTCGTCACAAACTCTTACTTTACCCGGATATGGATTGTACAAGAGATCGTTGCATCTAGGAATGTGATCCTATACTACTCCGGTCAACCTATCCTCTGGGAGACGTATGCCCGGGCCATGACAGTGATCTCATCCCATGGCCTCAGAAATTTCGTTCATTTTATACGTGGTGCGAATGCCGACTTCCGTCAAATTGATCTTCCTGGAATCGACAATGCGTTAGTCATGGAAAATCTGAGATTATGGTATGGGAGACACAGCGTAATCCTGCCAAGCCAAAGGCAGCGGTTGCTACCCTTGGAAGACACATTGAAACTATGCCTGAGGTTTGAATCTTCATGGGACGTGGATAGAATCTACGCTCTCCTCGGCTTGATCTCAGACCGCGAAGAGCTCAATATTGTCCCTAACTACGAAGCCGGACAGACTCATGCTGTGTTTTCCTCACTTGCT